GACCCTGTTTGATGAGGTCCTCGATCTTGTCTTTCAATGTTGAACACTCTTCGGTGGAGTGTCCCCGGTTTCGGTGGAATCGGCAATTCTTCGCCTTGTCGGCTCTAGGGGGCGTGTTCGCTCTTTTCGGCATCGCCATGATTTCTGATGCAAGAGCCTGCTCCATTACTTTGGCCCTGCTTGCATTGAGGGGAGTATACGCTGTATAGTGGGGTCCTCTCGGGGGGCGGGTGTTTAGGGGTTCGGCGTTGGTCTTCCTCACTGGTTCTCGTCCGGGCTCCTTTCGGCTATAACCCTCCTCGGCTCTGGCCTGATTTCGGGTCTCTGCCAACTCCTCCATTTGCATGTATTTTTCTGCTCGGCGTCGGAGGTCATTCATATCCACCGGCGGTTTTTTGCACAAACTGTTTACGAAGGGTCCGGGCCTGAGTGCCGTGCTCAGCCGGTCCATTGCCACGGCAGGGTTGAGGTCGCCGATTTCCATTGCGATTTTATTAAACCGGTCCATGAAAGTCCTCAGACTCTCTTTTTTCTCTTGACGAACCCCCGCTAAGGCTAGTGAGGTCGTCCTGTACGGCTTGCTCGTTGCGAACTGGAGAGTGAATTGGGAAGACAGTTCGTTGAACGAGTCAATGGAAGAGCTCGGTAACCTTGTGAACCAAACCAGGGCCCTTCCTTTCAGAGACGTGGGGAATATTCGGCACAGAGCCGAGTCGTCTTGAGTGGAGAGGGTTGCTTGAGTCAAGAAAACATTCAAGTGCTCTTCTGGGTCGGAGGATCCGTCGTACTTCTCAATCGGCATGCTCTTCCAATGGTCCAGCAGTGTTGCCTCCATGATTCTCCTGGAAAAAGGATGCCTTAGGGAGTGAACGGTGGTGTCGGCCTTGTTGGCTATCAAAGAAGTGACTGGGGTTCGGGTGACCTGGTCTGTTGGGGCGTGATAGGCGGACTCTTCTACGAGCGTAGGAGTGGTCGGCACATATGTTTGGTTCAGATGCCGAAGCTCAGCGTTCTGCCGGCGTAGCTCGGCCAGCTCTCGGGCGTCGGCTTCTCTTTGCCTTTGGATGGCCGCCATTTCCTCGCGAAGTGCTCGCAAGTCATCTTGAAAGTTCGGTTGAGTTTGACTGGCGTTCGGCTGGACTTGCTGTATCACAGGTTCCGGTTGGGTCTGAGGCATTCCGTACGGGTAGCACTCTTGGTTGGTCATGACGGGGTTGCTTTCGGGGTTAGGAATCGGGTGAGTCGTTGTCGATTGTCCTTTGCGCGTTGTTACCATATCTCGGTCTCAGTCGTAGAGTAAAAAGGGGCTGAAAACGTCTCTTCGGCCCCACGGTGGGCGCCAAATGTTCCTGTGTTAGGAAACACACTTCAATTATCCTTGTTGTAACGGGTCGGATCTTAGGTCTCGGTCTTCTCGTTCCTATCCGGGTAGTCCGATGTGAGGTAGGGATTGGGCCCCGGAAAATTAGGGGACTAACCTGGCGTATTATGCAAATTAACCCTTCCGTAATCATACTGGTGAATGTCGTCAGTTCGGCCGAGCACAACGAGATGTTCCATTTCGTGAATGGTCGGTGTGATCGGGTACACGGACTATTCGGTTATAAATTAGAGTGCTCGGTCGGGTCGGTGCCATACAATTGTTCGGTCAGGTCGGCCCATGCGGTATAATAAGTATGCTAGTAACTACTAGATACAAATTCTAGAATCATGTAAAAAATTACATATAGATAGAAAACTCTAGAAATAGCTAGATATCTCTAGAATTTTCTACATAAAACATGAATATGGTGTTGAGGCCTATAAATAGGCCATGTACCAAACATTTTTATACAAAACAACTAGTAAGTCATTTTCACTACTCAAATCTATTTCAACTATTCCTCTAAACTAGTTTTCCTCTCAACTAAGCCTATTATTATAAATTTGCCTCCCCATTCCTTCTACCAATCAAATAAGTTTTTACTATTTGATAATTCATAAACTAACCGTGGTACCAGAGCTATGTTCGGTAATCTACTAGGCGTAGAAATATTACCCCACTCCTTCCAAAAAAATTTCTCAATATTCTACCCACTTTCAAAAAAAAATTTCTAATCCATGGCTAACACCATTCAACCATCATCTATCCCTATTCCCATTTTTAATGGTGAAAATTATGATTTTTAGAGTAAAAAAATGAAGACATATTTCTCCTTTCAAGATTTATGTTACATGATAAAAGAAGAATTTTCTACTCCAGAAGATACCTCAGCCCTTACTGTGGCTCAAAAAAAGGAGTTAAAAGAGAACAAACAAAAAAATTCAAAGGCGTTATTCATTTTGCAACAAGCTGTGACCGACACAATTTTTTCGAGAATAATGGGTGCAACAACAACCAAAAAAACATGGTCTATGCTGCAGGAGGAGTTCGAAGGAAGTGAAAAGGTACGTGCCATAAAATTACAAACTCTACGGCGTAACTTTGAATTGTTAAATATGAAGAAATCTGAGACGGTAAAGGACTACTATTCTAAGATAAAAGAAATAGTTAACCAAATGAGAGCGTACAGTAAAAATATTCTTGACAAGAAAATTGTGGAGAAAATTCTAATTAGTGTTTCCCGTAAATATGATCCAATCGTGACAACGATTGAGCAAACAAAAGATCTATCTACCTTATCAGTAACAAAGTTGATGGGGTCACTTGAAGCTTATGAGCAAAGGTTGAATAGGCATGATGAGAACTCAACTGAAAATGCCTTTCAATCAAAGCTCAAATTACAGTCTCAAAATAAAGATAAAAGGAATAATGGGGAAACTTCTAGAAATAAAGAGAATTCTAGAAATTTCTCTAGAAATTATCAGAATGAATATCCTCCATGCGGCATTTGCAAGAGGACAAATCATGCCGAGAAAGACTGTCGATATCGTGGAAATAAAGCCACAATGTCGCCATGCAATAAAGTTGAACATGTGGAGAAGTATTGTCGCAACAAAAATAAGCATCAAGCAAAATTTGTTGAAGAGAAAAATGGTGAGCAACATCTTTTCTATGCTACCCAAGATTCCAATAGTGAAACAAGTGAAAATTGGTACTTGCATAGCGTCTGCATCAATCACATGGCCAAAGATGCAAGCATCTTCAAGGATATTGATGAACCCGTCAAGGTGAAAGTTCGAATGGGGAACAACACTGTCGTTGAATCAAAAGGCAAAGGCACAATTATGGTGGAGACGAAGAAAGGTACGAGACTTATTGCTGATGTTCTACTAGTTCCCAATCTTAAAGAAAATCTCTTGAGCATTGGCCAAATGATGGAGAAAGGTTATACTCTCCATTTCGAAGGAGACACATGTAAAATATATGACAATAAAAAACTAGAAATTGGCCGAGTAAAAATGGAGAAGAGGAATAGAAGTTTCCCTATAAGCCTGAGACAAGGCCCTAACATTGCCACGAAAGCAGAAGTAGACGACTCATGGCTGTGGCATCGAAGATTTGGCCACTTTAATACACATGCCTTAAAGTTATTATATCAAAAAAATATGATGAGAGATCTCCCATGCCTAAAAGAGAATAGTGAAGCTTGTGAAGGATGTCTTCTTGGCAAGCAACATCAACTGCCATTTTCAACAGGCAAAGCATGGAGAGCAAAGGACTTGTTGGAGCTGATCCATATAGAGATATATGTGGACTAATGCGGATGTTGTCACTCCATAACAACAGGTATTTCATTCTCTTCATAGATGATTTTCTAGAATGACTTGGGTCTACTTCATAAAAGCAAAATTAGAAGTCTTTGGTATTTTCAAAAAGTTTAAAACCCTTGTCGAAAAGCAAAGTGACAAACAAATAAAAGTACTTAGAAGTGATCGTGGCAAAGAATACACTTCCCATGAGTTTCATAAATTCTGCGAAGATGAAGACATTGAGTGACAACTTATAGTTGCATATTCTCCACAACAAAATGGAGTATCTGAAAGGAAAAATCACACAGTAATGGAGAAGGCCAGATCGATGCTCAAGGAGAAAGGATTACCAAACACATTTTGGGTTGAAGCAATTTATACTATTGTCTACATACTTAATAAATGCCCAACTAAGGTAGTCCAAGATTAGACTCCGATTGAAGCTTGGAGCGGAATAAAACCATCAGCAAAGCACCTAAAGGTATTTGGATCTATTTGCTACATACACATTCCATAAGAGAAAAGGCACAAGCTAAAAGACAAGACAGTACGAGTTATCTTCCTTGGATATAACAAACAGTCAAAAGGCTACCGTGTCTACAACTTGCAAACCAAGAAGCTGATTATTAGTCGAGATGTTGAAGTTGATGAAAATGCGACTTGGAATTGGAATGATGAGAAAGAAGAGAAAAATATTCCTATCTCAATTCAGCAACCAGAAGGAGTAACTACAGAAGTCCAGGTGAGCCTCGTTCTCCTCCACAATAACAAACTCCATCACCAAAGTCTACTCCAAGACGAGTTAGATCTTTGGTGGATATATATAAACCTCCAACTTGGCCATACTTGAACCTGAAAGCTTTGAAGTAGCGTCAAAGCAACAAGTATGAGTCAAGGCTATGGAAGAAGAGATAAAAATGATTACACATGGGATCTAAGACTATCCAAAGGACAAAGATATCATCAGAGTGAAATGGGTTTATAAGACAAAGCTCAATCCGGACGAAACATACAAAAGCACAAGGTAAGGTTGGTAGCTAAGGGTTATTCACAACAACCTGGAGTCGACTACAAAGAGACATTTTTCCTAGTAGCACGCCTAGATACAATTAGATCTCTAATAGCTCTTGCAACACAAAAAGGCACTACCGAGAGCAATAATCAAACAATTTTGCACTATGATAGGAATTAAAGAAATTTGTATCAAGGAGGAGTGTTAAAATATGATACAAACTTCTAGAATAATTAGATTCTTATAGAAAAATACATAGGTATGCTAGTAACTACTAGATACAAATTCTAGAATCATGTAGAAAATTACATATAGATAGAAAACTCTAGAAATAGATATCTCTAGAATTTTCTACATAAAACATGAATGAGGTGTTGAGGCCTATAAATAGGCCATGTACCAAACATTTTTATACAAAGTAACTAGTAAGTCATTTTCACTACTCAAATCTATTCCAACTATTCCTCTAAACTAGTTTTCCTCTCAACTAAGCCTATCATTATAAATTTGCCTCCCCATTCCTTCTACCAACTAAATAAATTTTTATTATTTGATAATTCATAAACTAACAATATAAGATGTGATTTTTATTGATAAAATATAATTTTAGTTTTTTAATATCGATGAAAATTAATCATGAAAACACAAGTCTGCGTCCCAAAACAGGCCCTGTATCTATTGAGGCAAGAACCTTGGTTAAAATGGTTACTTAAAACATACTTATCATTTAATTAATGTGATAGGGAGCTGTGGTTACAAAGGTAACGTATCAAGTAGATAAATTCTTTTTATTTTTGAAAGAGAGATGAGAGATGGAGGTGTTTGAGAGTGAAGAATTAGGCTCCAAACATATATACCCTTACTTTCTCCGCTCAACAATTCCAATTGAAATCATTAGTCTTCAAAATAGTTTAATCACTACACAATTTGTGTGTGAAGTGTAGAAATCGATCACATAACAAAATATAAGCCCAATGTTTATGGCACATCTGCAATGTTACACATACGTTTTTCCATCCAATCATCATCAGTCGAGTCGAATTGAATGGTCTGTTTGGTTCAAATATTAATATTCATTCTTCCAATATTTTAACATAAAAAATAAACTAACTATTCCAAACACTTTTAGTTCTGAAAAGGCATACTTTATGCTCTCTAGCCCATATCCTATATAGTATTTGAAAACCAACTAGGATGCAAAATGTATAGAGAACAACTGAATGAGTTGATTATATCCATCCACAGACCAAGCACATATATTATTCACAAACATTAATTCAATTTATTAAATTTTGATTTTCCATGTAAAAAAAGTTATATATGTTTTTCAGATAATACTATTTTTGACGTGGGATTTGAAAATTTCCTTATGGAGCCATGAAACCATTAAATGTTACACCTCACAAATAAGTAAAGTCTTGAGGAAAGTCCAATTTCATGGAAAATACAAGTAACACAGTTATCCTTTTGTCTCGACATTCCTCAAATTGATGATAAAATAAAGATAAATAGTGAGATTCCAACTCATTATCCTACTTGAAAATTTTCTTGGCATAAATGCAATTGGTTCCAATACATGTGCCCATAATCGATTAACCGACCTCTTTTCTCTATCACTAAGACAGTGACACGAGTGTGGATATATAATCTATTGTGTATATTTAAGTGCATGCAATTTCACTAAAATATATTATTTCTTCCATTAATAATTATGAGAATTAATGTTATGGCTTTTACCTGAATCCGGTGCCACTTTTACTAAAGTTATCAAGTCCATGATACCGCCCAAAATATTTATAAAATGGCCTGTTTGTACGAATAGTTAAGTTTAAGCTAAAATAGAATTAAGGTAAGTCCTTTTAATTTTTCTGTATCAGTTTAGTTTTTAAAATGTAAAAGGTTTTATTTTGATACTTTAAATTTTATGTGTTAGATCAAATTGAAATTGGACTTTTCCGCAATTGTTAGTATTAACAATAATAATTTTTATTTAAGCAATATCTCTGCCAGTTTGTTACATATCACCAAATTAACACCAATTTAATGCATACACTTACAGAATAATAAACATATTCTAGCATGTGTTTAAAGGACTTAAAGCAAGACTTTTTAAATATATAAAAAAAACTTAATTAAAAATAAAATAATTAAAATTTGAGATCAAAGATCTAATTTAATATTCAGCTTAAGAGTTGTCAATTATACATAATTTAGAGCACATCATATTTTTAATTTATTAAATAATCTAAATTTTAAAGATTTTTATATGTTGACTTGTTTATTAATTCTAGAAGCAAGCTTAATTTATTTATTTTTTTGTTTACTACTCATCTAAACAATATTTGATCACATTTTAATAAACACCGTATATAACAATATAGAATGCCATATTTTTAGGGGGTTATCAGTAAAGTATACAAAATAACTGGTTAACAAATTTAGAACCGAATTTTAGTACAGTGGATTTTCCAGAATTCCATTAATGTAGGAATTGAACTCGAGCAATTATATAATAATCTTATGTCCTCAATCATTAAATTAAACAAATAAATTAAAAGTGAAGTTTTCACTTTGTCAAAAACAATGACACTTTTTTACATTTAAGAATTGAACTCGGTTACAACAACTCATATACATATATTATTAAAACAACTAAGTTAAACTTCCTTAATAAAGCAATGGCACTATGACCAAATATGATGACTGTCATTTTCTTTTTATTATTATTATTATCTCTTTGAACGGAAATAAGATGACTTTCATTAATACTCAACTATATAGCTATTCCAATGTGAGAACGGGTTTTGAGGAATTCTGCGTTATCTTTTGAATAAATAGCAATGGAATTTCTCACCTTAAAAAAAGAATAGTTTATTAAAAAAATCATATTAAAGTAAGTTTGCACATGACTTGTCGCGGAACATATTGTGCAAGAAGTCTTATTTATTATAAAATACAATAAATATGCATAATACTTTTAAGTAATACAATAATTATTTTCCATCATAATCACTTCTATATACTTGTATAAGTTGGATTTATATTTTGTTTCATTTTTAAAATGAAAATTATTATCATTAGTATGTGTTACCCTATATATTTTCACTTCGGGGTGTATACAATGTAAAGATTAATGTTAATAATTATTATCCTTTATCAAACAATTCTAAAATCACAAACTTTTTTGTTTGGACATAAAATTCACATCAACTTTGTATCTTTTAGAAATATGAATATCCCCATATATTATTTATGTGGGATTCAAATAGAGATGAGTGATGCATGTAAGTATTTCTTTAATATAAATAATACATCAACCTATAAGGATTATGTATTGATTTTTACATATGAACGCATTTATGGTACCTTTCGGGTGTAATATAGACATAAAGTGAGAGGTTCATTCTGGTTCAAATAACAAAATCTAATTCTAGAAATATTAAAATGAGTTAAAGCACATTTATTCATTTAAAACTCAACATTACTAGGAAATTGTTTTGATTTAACTTATAGTTTGAAGTTTCAGTTATGTGTATTGAAATTTGTTAAATATAGAGAAAGTTTTAATACTGCAGGTAACAATCTTATTCTATATACTTTAACAGAATTCTCTCCAATAATAAATACACATGATCTATGATCTTTATCAGAAACTCGGTGGATATGAAAAGTAATAGGAACAGAAGCCATATCTAGAATCTAAGAATCCGGTGGACTTTTTGACTTGCCTATGATGCCAAGCCTAAAATAAGGGGGCAAAGCATGAAGATGAGGGTGATGAAGTAATGAGGGGCATTGATGTAATTTAACTGTTCAACATTCTCCACCTCTTTATATAAACCCTCCTAACTCCAAAACCACTGTTACTGTATTCCATGTACTTTATACATATCTCTTTATATTATTTTACCTAGGTTTCATCATCAGCTTCAGAAACACTTTCTTTATTTCTTGTGCATTGGAATGGAAGATCACCAGGGGCAACAGCAGCAACAGCAACAGGAGCCAAATAGTCCAAATAACCAACAAGGATCCGAGAGAAGTGAACCCGTGAGGTCAAGATGGACTCCAAAGCCAGAACAAATCCTCATACTTGAGTCCATCTTCAACAGTGGCATGGTTAACCCCCCAAAAGATGAAACAGTCAGAATAAGAAAGCTCCTTGAGAAATTTGGCACCGTTGGTGATGCCAACGTCTTCTATTGGTTCCAAAACCGCCGCTCCCGCTCTCGCCGCCGCCAACGCCAGATTCAGGCCTCCCTAAATCAAGTTGGCGGTGCAAGTAGTAATAATAATAATAACAATCTATATCAGCATCACCACCAAAACAACACTCCTCTTGTTGCGAACATGGGTTTTGGTGGTGGTGCTAACTCCTCTCTCCCTAACTCTTCCTATATTTCTGGCTCCTCTTCTTCTTCATTCGGTGGTAGTAGCCAAGAAAGCTTAAGTGAGTTCTTTTCACCCTCTACTCAAATGGGTTTTCCTGGAATTGATCACCATGCTTCATCTGTATCATCTTCAGTTCTGTATCCCCCAGAAGCTTCAAATTTGAACTATCACTCTGGTAATTAATTTAGTATTTCATTAATTTGCTTGCTTGTGTTGTGTGTTCATTCTGCGATTTGTTTTATTTGTTTTTTTGTAGTTAAGGAAAAAATGCATTTATGGGAACTAAAATGGGACCTCTTGTCCATTTTTTTCTTATACAAACTTGTGACTTGATACTGATCAAATAATTTTTGTTGGTCCTCAGATTTTTTATTTTACAGTTAAATAAAGAAAATATTTTTTGTTTTTTATTTTCTATAATAATAATAGTAATAATAATAATTATGTCAAATAATAAAGAAAATACATTTTTTTGTTTTGTTTTGTTTATTATTAATATCTGCCGAGTTTTCTCCACATAAATTTCCCATAAGAGGTGTGTCACGACAAAGCCACTTTTTAAGCCCAGGTCAAGGCTCAAAATGGGTGCTTGATTCTAAAGTTTTTATTCAAGTGTTTTATTAGTTTCATGCCTTTTTGTGTGTAAAAGTTGTTCTTTTCCCGTTGATTAGGTTTAGTAGGGGGACCATTGAAGAAAGTGGTAAACTTTTTCATGATTTGACAGTTCCTGCGATTGAATTGCATGAGAATTGTACATTCAGGAAAATCATGAGGTCGCTTTCGTTTTGCAGTTTCTGTTTCTCCCTTTTTATACCCTCCTCACCTTTTAATCCCTGGGTTTTTCCCCAACCTCTTTACAAAAGATTTGCAAACCCTAGACGTTTTAGTTTGCCTTTGTCTAATTTGATTAAATTGGCCACCTCCTTGTATATAATCATTGAAAGAAATCAATGATGTTCAACATGTTCTTCAGTATACAATTTACCTGTCATAAATTAGGTGGGGGTTACTAAATAAAAATGACACATCATGGCTGTATAATATACATGAGTAACGTTAATATTTTGTGCCACGAGGCACTACATTATGTGTTATGGCTTATTTCTTTAATAGGCCTTCAAAATTCAGGAATTGACAGACAAATTTTGAAAATACGCCTTTACATTTACATTTACCTTATATATTAAACATATATGAATCTTTCTTATTTTGTATGATCAATTATGCATATTTGATGCGTTATTCAAAAACATGATTATGCATGTTTGATGTTCTAAGTTTTGTTTTATTAATTTTGGGGCATAGGATTTGGAGGGATTCCTTCAGGATTCATCACGGTGTTTATCAATGGGGTTGCAACAGAAGTTCCAAGGGGCCCAATTGACATCAAAGCAACGTTTGGTGAAGATGTAATGTTAGTTCATTCCTCCGGAGTGTCAGTTCCGACCAATGAGTTTGGTTTCTTGATGCAGGGCTTGCAGCATGGTGAAAGCTACTTTCTGGTTAGAACTTAACATAACTCCAACTTAATTGTTTGTTTCTATCCTGGTATTGTTTCTCAGTGAAATTTTTTTAATAAACTAAATTTATTAAGGGTATTTCAGCCCGCAATGCAGTATTTATATATGCTGTTCCTGTAAAACATTATTTGATGCAATTATCTAGATTAATTAATGCACTATTTAGAAAACAAAATACAACCATCATCTGCCTGCTTAATTAACTACGATTTGACTTTAATTGGGTCAGTTGAGTGTAAACAATTGTTATGTGGTCATTTCTATAATTACCAAAAAGACAAAACCACAGAATGTCACATTATCCGCAAAGGGGTCCCTTTTACTTAATTACCTCTAATAAAACTCTTTTCCTTTAACAATTGATTCCTCCCTCATATTATTATTGTTAACGTTGTTGTCTTTTATGTTGTTGTTTTGTCTACGAAATATTATTTTGGGATCGGAGGCTGTTCTTTCTGCACAACTAATCATTTTTTTTATTAAGATATATCATTGAATTTTGGTTTCAGGTTTCAAAGCAAACACAAGTGTGAACTGTTCAACAGTTAATAACATAGCACCAGTGGAAGCTTCTGTTACATGTTTCTCCTATAAATTGCCTGTTACTTTCTTTCTTTTTATCCCATTCTCGTACTCTTTTATGTGGTTCAAAATATTAGAGATCTACTATGTGATTAGAGAAGTCCATATATCTATATCTAGTTAACAATTACATATACTTTACATTCCCGGTTTTAGCGCAAACAAATGTACTTCTATAATTTTATATGTTGATGAAATCGAACTTTGTGGTGTATCTTTCGTGTGTTCGATGCTCAGTTCTTTAAAATGCATCTCAATATGCTTGATTATATATTAATGCATGTGGTGCTAGAGAGCTCGAAAAAATTATTTTGAGTTAATGAAAGTTACTCATTACATGTTCATAAATTACTTTTAACTCTTTCAGATAAATTTCACATTATTCTTTTTATTAAAATAAACTCTTCTTCACTTAATTACCAAACTTAAAGTGCAGCTTAAGAATAAATTCTTATATCGGAAGTTCTTATTGAATAAGTTCTTAACAATAATGGTATTGCCTTGCCATAATACAACTGGACAACTTCCGTATTTGCTGCATTGTTAGAGAATTGAATTTTGTATATAGTCAGATTTAAGACATATGGTAACTGTTATTTTATTTATTTCAATAGTTGTACTGATAATTAAGAAGTACTAATAGATATACCGTTTGCCTAGTGGAGTTTTATCTAATGGATGAAGATAAGAACTATAGATCACAGGAAAATATTACTTTTCATTTTTAAAGTGTTGCAACAGGAACAAAACTAGTTGGGTCATGCAACTAACAAACGAAAAAGCGAAACAGAATATTCGCATGGAGGCTGGGTGGAAACATATCTAACTCCGTTTGACTCGTATTGTCTATCTTCCTTCCTTATATTACTCTCGAGAAGCAAAATAGGGGAAAGCTGACATACAGCTACTTCACTCTAGTTCTTTTAAGAATAGATCATAATCATTGGATCTTCAGATTAGACAATTTTTTTATCCAAGAATGATCGATCAAGTGTCATTAGTTTCCACCATGTAGTGGAAAGTGATCAAGAATATTTGGAGATGGAATTCCACTACAACTTGATGGTATATAATATGTGAAGAATTAAGATTTTGAACACATTTGAAGTTCTTAAAATTTGGATCAACGCTTATTATAGTGCCAAAAGTTAGCTTGAGATATGAGAGTTGTCCTCACCATTTAATATGGGATTTCTAACACCCTTCATGCTAAGGATTGCACATTTTGAATGTAAAATATGTAAGGTTAGATATATGTTGGTAGTATAATAATGACCTGATAACACATATATGTTAGATTAATAATAGGCTCAAAAACATTTTTTTAGGATAGATGTTGATCTCATATTAGAATTTAGGTTTAAACATATATAACTCAAATGCTAGTTCGAGAGGTGGGAGTTGTACCTCACTTATATACCATGTTTTGACGATATGTACATATATATGAAGATTGTGCGATTATAATAAATTTAACAAAAAAAAATTAGTATAGACTTATATATCATCTTAGAATTTGAGGTTATGGTTATCTTATCTCCAAAAGCTAGCTCAAAAGGTGAAGATTGTTTCATGCTAATATACATTATTTTGACTATATATTACTTAATGAATTTCCAACACATTTCCCTCGCGTTGAGGACTAAGCTTTTGGAGTTTGAAGCTGTAAGATTGGACTCTTGCAAATGATCTAATAACAAGCCTATAACGAACAATACAATAAGGCTTACAATATTCACTAGGATAGTCTTTGATACATATTGAAATTTGAGTTTTATTCATAACTCCCAAAATCAAGCTTAAGAGGTAAAAGATATCTTCCACTTATATTTTGGCCATATCACAAGATGACATGTGATTACTAACACAAGTTCATCACAACAAGAACTTGACATTCGATGCAAGAAACTTGTAAGATTTGACATATGTGACTTGTCCAATAATGACCTTGTAACTGATGAAAAGATAGACTCAACAATAATCGATAAGATAGGCATTGATATCTTTTCAAAATTTAGTTTTAGGCATAACATAACTCCTAAAGTTTGCTTGAAGATTTTCAAAAAGATGATGAAGAACTTGAAGTTAAAGGACCTATGACTAGGTAAATGGCTAAGACGATTGTGTTGAGCTTAGGAGAGCTTGAATCTTAAAGGAGTTTTGATGATCACAACAAGTATACAACAACAACTTGGAGCACAAAAACAAAGTTAAAGAAGAGTCAAGAAAATGCTATGAAATGGAGCTATGTAATAGAACTTAGGAAATAAATTGTTTTGAATGTGTTTTTATATTGTGTGTGCTAAGTATGCTTTGTGCATAAGCAAATCTTATCTAAACCAAGTAAAGAATATATGATGATGAGTTAAAACATTGAAAAGTTATTTTGAGACTTAAAATGAAGTTTTAAGTACTAACTCAAAATAATCGATTATTGTTAAATATAATCGATTATTTTAGCAAATAGGCTGAGTTGCATGCCTTGCTGTAATAATCGATTATTTGCCAAAATAATCGATTATCCCAGGAACAACTCTCTGGAATAATCGATTATCCAGCTAAATAATCGATTATATTGTTCTTGGTTGATTTCCAGAAAATCTGAAGAACAAAATAATCGATTATTCTTTAAAATAATCGATTATCTGTGTCTGAAACTTTTATAAATAGTTTGAACTTTGAGAAACTTCAGACAATGAGTTAGAACTGATAATCAATTTGTGAAAAACGTTTTTGTGAGTCTTTGTGACATCTTGGAGAGTTTTCTTTGTGAAATCCAAGAGTGAAAACGTTTGTGAAAAGCTTTGTTAGAAGATCATCATCATCATATTCTTGAAAGGGGAAGATAAAGATTTGTTCAAGAATTCCAGGTGAATTCGTTCCTTTTATTCTTTGTGAATCTTTGTGGAAAATCTTGAGAAGGGTTTCTCAAGTGGTAAGGTTTCTTGTAGTGGGTTCTACAAGGGGTGCTTTCTTGGGGTCAAGAAAGTGGTTATCTTTTAGTATTGAAGTATATGCATGTGTGTGTGCTTGTAAACCTTCTTGCTTAAAGATAGTGGAACAAATCTTAATCAGGTGTTGATTAAGGACTGGATGTAGGTCACAAGTGGAGTGGCTGAACCAGTATAAAAGACTTGTGCAATCTTCTTCTACCTTATCTTTTACTTTGTGTAATTTCTTGGTTAAACTTTAAAGAAGATAAAACTTGATTAACAAGTGTATGTGAATCTTGATGGTTTAAATCTGTAATTGAACATTATTGTTGAACCTCATTATGTTGTAATCAAGTGAGCATATTGCATTCATATTTTCGTAACAAGTCTTTAGAAGAGCTTCATTTGGAAATTCTGTCATAGAAAAGTTTTGATTGAAATTAAGATCCAAAATACTCTGATAAATTTTTAAAGGGTCATTGAATCCAATTCACCCCCCCTCTTGGATTGTGCCATTCTTTTCTAACAGATTGAAGGGGAACTCATGAGGAAGCTTAACACCTTTGGAGGCCATGATATTGATAATCTTTAAGAATATATAAAAAGAATACTATTGTTTTGATTTTCACATTTCAATATACATTTTTACCCCTCGATAATTAGTTTAATTGTATTTTCACTCACTTAAAAATCAAGATATAATTGGAAATAAAAAGACACTGCACTCTTTCTGATGTGAATCCAGCAGGGTAAAATTGAAGACTAACAAGGCCAAAGTCATATGATAAAGAAGAAGGATTAATGGGCTGAAATTTAAGTAGTTTGGGGCTGAATAATTAAATAAGTCCATTATCTTATTTTTTTAATGTAATTTTTGTTTTATTAATATTATTAAATAAGTCAAATGACTTTCCAAGTTACGTAGACCAACATTTATTGTTTTAGGCTTAGTGGAATTTAATGAGCTAGTGGGTTAGTGAAGAGTCAATTCTAGTGGATATTAAGTGTTAGTGGGAATTTATGTCATCTTGGCCATCTAAGCTTATAAATAGAAACCATTTGTAAAAGTTTTGGAGAGAATACGAATTATTCAGAATTTGGATATTTTTACAGTTGAGAGGATTTTTTCTCTCTAGGTTCTTAGGAACTACTTTTGATTCTTATATTTAAATTTCCTAATTCAAAGTGGCGAATCTTCCTCAACTTATCAATCTTTAGGGATTGTGGTGTTATTCTTCCATTTCTTATCTCAATTCATTTTTTATAATTTCTTAATTATGACCATTCCAGCCAAGATAGATCCGTAAAATGAATCCATCCTTCTAGGTTCACATCATTTGGTATCAGAGCTTCCGCTCTGGGTTTGGAATGGAAATGGAAATTTACTATACAGGATGTTTGGTGGAAGACTCTCCGTTCTGGGTCACAGTAGATAAATTCAATTTCAGAAATGTTGTGAGCAGTAGGGCAGTTGAGAAATTATGTCTGCCCACTACAAATGGACAAGCAACGATTAAATTCTCTATTGGAAAATATGAAGATGAAGTTCTTTGTGATATTGCCCCAATGGAGACATGCCATATGTTATTAGGGAGGCCACGGCTGTATAATAAAATTATAACTCCTGAACGACCTTCTATTTGTTCTGTGCATGGTGGACGAAGGATTAAGTTGATATGTCTATCAATCGACGCTGTACATGAGGATAAACTGAAATTGAAAATAAAGATAGAAAAAGAAAGAGAAGAGAAGATGAGAACTCTAACATTACATTTTCTTCTTTTGATGTGTCAAATATACAAGAACAGGTGGACAAGTTTTCTTGTTTGAAGAATCATGTCAACATCATTCCTAATGCACCATTATACATTCAGTCCACCTTTTAAAATAAAATTCAAGAGACCTTGCACCTAGAAAATGGAGTTGATTTGTTGTTTGAAGTTACTATTTTCCAAAGTTGCCACTTGAATGGGATTCAATTCCTATTCATTGAGTACGTTTGTGGTTATGAGTTTGAAGAGGTTTTATTTGTTTCGTTGATGATTAATAACTTACCAAAAGGTGAAGCTAGAGATGGATACAAGCGAGATGTCTTCGACCCAGAAGGAAGCATTTGTGTTCCGGCAGTAGTTAGTGAATTAAATAAATTAGGAAATAAATAAAGCCTTAAGATTCGGGACGAATCTTCTCAAAGAAGGAGGGTATGACGTGAATCCAGCAGGGTAAAATTGAAGACTAACAAGCCCAAAGTCATATGATAAAGAAGAAGGATTAATTGGCTGAAATTTAAGTAGTTTGGGGCTGAATAATTAAATAAGTCCATTATCGTTTTTTTTATGTAATTTTTGTTTTATTAATATTATTAAATAAGTCAGATGACTTTCCAAGTTACCTAGACCAACATTTATTGTTTTAGGCTTAG